CCGGCTGTCCCAGGTCAGGCTACCTTGTCCAGCACACACGGGAACGAATCCCCAACGCGTGGCCTGGGTCTCCCTCGAAAGGAACTTCACGTATCGCCCATTCAACCATTTCAAAGTCGAGCTTTGAAAATTTCAAAGCTGCCACTATTGAACAAGTTGCCAAAACAAAATCATTCAGCTAAACTCTTTTTTCCCCCCTGCCCTTTTTATTAAAGTTTCTTTTCACACAAACATTTGAAATGGAGAAACGTTACCAAAGCATCAGCTAAAAGAAAACCTAAGCAGCACGCAACCTTCTTCACTGAGAATAAAAATTAGCATCTTAATATTAAAATATATCTGCGCCTCCTTAGACAACTGCCTCCCCCGGTTTCTGCAGAGGGTTTTTCCACGGCTAGTACAGAACAGATGTCTGTAAAGCCATCCTAAACCGTCTCCTGCCAAGTCTGCAGGGCAGGTCCTTGCTTTGCCATTCTCACTCACCAGTGTAAGCTCTTACGCAAGCTTTTTTACTGCCTGCAGTTACGTTCAGGTAAGCAGGCACTTGCAAGACACAGATTGTATTTTTAACCCATACAAACAGCACAGCAAGGTTAACCAAACGTCTCAGTTCAGGGGATGTACAGATTAGCCAGTACGATACAAATTATTTCCTTCTGCACACTCCACAATAAAATTAGATTTCTGCAAAGAACTTAAGGCTCTCTCTAGAGTTTTACCTCTCCAAAACAAGAGTGCATCTCTGCAGAGATATTTTCCATATTGTCTGATCATACTAGCAGCATAAATAACAGGGATGGTTTATCAAACGATCATGAAAGTTAGGCTCAGCTAAAAGAGCTGCTGTTAGTGTGTGGTGCTTTTAATCTGGGAATGAACATTATATTGAAAAAAAAACGCAAACACACAATACTACACCCTCTCCACTGCTTCAGAGCTCTACAGCCGACAGAGTTACTATAGGAACTTAATTCCTGGTGCCGTAGCGGCGAGACACTTGAACGCAACCTCATCAAATGCCTTCAGGACTCTGCCTTCACACTGTGTGCAGCCGCTAGCTGCTAATGGCACGCACAAAGCTTGAAAAAAATAATAATATTATTTTCATAGGATTACACCAGACACAGAGACAGATATGCAAAAACAATGACACCAAAGGAATCAAAATATTCATGGCTCATAAAGCGTGGTAGAGAAGGAATGGCTTCAGCTGATCGCCTGCCTCTGCTTAGATTCTTTATAGCACAATGAATCAACATTACCCCTTTTAGAAAACCATCCCGAGTTCTGTTTATCTGGGGACAAATCCACCTAATCCCGCTCATACAAGCGAGCACAGCAACTTCAAGGGAGCTGCCAGTCTGGGAGGAGGACAGCAGAATACGGCCCCTTTTTGTGAACAGTCCCGGGACCCTTCTGGGGTGCGACACAAGACCTGTGATTAATGACACGCTAAAAGCTGAGCTAACATGGCACCTGCTCTGCCCGTGCTGTCCTGCCCCGGCCGGCTCTCTAACGCTTTCGCCCGAGCCGCGAACGCAGGGAATGCCCGCAGGTCCCCGCTGCCAGGCTCTGGCGTTGAAAATCATGAGCTGTCTCACCCCGACTCACAAAACCAGCCGAAGAAATCTGGGGAAAAAAAAGGCAGGGTCTTTCCCGTTCTCTGCATCTCCCTGCAACGAGCAAGGGCAAAGAAACAGAGCCTTTTTGCTTCTTTTTTACGGAAGAACCCTTCTTATTTGTCCATGAGAGCTGAGGACTGGGCAGCAGGGTGAGACAGCTCTTCCCTGCCCTTCACCCCCGAGGTCTCGGGGCCGGCAGCAGCCGGGGGGGGGGCAGAGGCGCTGCACAGACAGCAGCACCCCCCAGCGCAGCGTGCCATGCTCGGGGGGGGACACACAACCCCTCCTGCCCCACCTCATGGTGCTGGGGCTGATCCCTGGGCTTTGCAAGCGTTTCACGGCCAAACGGTCCCCAATTTCGGCACCCGTTCCTCCATCCCAAACCATACACGCGCACGCACCGGCTGCCCCTGCCTCATCCACGCACCATTTGGGGGGCGAGGGGGGGGGAGGCTGCAGAGTGGCCAAGGGGGGGTCTCTGACCTCAGCGGGGTGCGGACAACAGTTTGTAACCCCCTTCCCCATACTGGGCGCGAGAACCGGCTGGATGGGAAGGCCCCAGGGTGGGGGACGGGCTGGCTACCCAGGGGAAGCCAAATGATCCGGGATGCTGGTTTGAAGTCCTGGCTATAAAAATGGCTGGGGCTGTGCTTGCCAGCCCAAGGAAGCAACTGCAGGGGCAAGCAGGAGGACAGGCACGCCAGCACGGCCAGAGGGCCCCGGGGACCAGCCGGAGCCGCTGCGGGGTCAGGAAGGGCCCCTGCACCCAGCACCCCCCCATGGGGATGCTCCCCCGGGACCCGGAGATGCTGCATCCTCCCGGCCGCACCCCGACGGGGCTCCCCAAGGCGGACAACCCCGGCCACAGCAGAGCCCCCCGCTCCGTGCCGGCGTTTTGGGGACCGACAGCAGCAGACGTCCCGGGGTGCTCCGCCGTCCAGCCCTACGCACCCACGGAGCCCTGCGCACCCCACGCCTCCCCGGGTCCGAGCAAAGCAGTAACGAAACTGAGCCTACCGGCACATTTCCAAGCCTGGCGCGGTCCGGAGCGATGCAGACACGACCCAGGTGGGTGTCCAAGGAAAACCCGACGGCCCCGGGCGGCTCCGCTCCTCCTCGCCCACCGGGGTGCCCAGGGTCGGCAGCACTTGGCGTCCAGCCCCCAGGCTCAGCTCTGCGCACAGCGAGAGAAAGACTTCACAGCATAAAAGAAGTGGACATCCATGTCTGGCCGGGGCACCTCGAAGGGAACTATTTTAAGGGACCAGCCTGGGCAGTGATGAGCTGCACCAGCCTTGGGGATTGTTGGGTTTTTTTTTTGGTTGGTTTTTTTTTTTTTTTTATTCAGATGGGCAGCGCAGAGGCTGCGATCCACCTTTCTCCCATCTTTTTCTGCCTGATGGACATTTTTTTTTTTTCTTTTTTTTTTGGAAGGGAGGAGAGGCTAGATCTGTTTAAACTTCATTTTTAAAGCATGCAAGGTTTCCTTCGCGGGTTGCTCACCCGGGCGGACCCTGTGGCAGGCTGCAGAGGACGAGCCACCCCATCCTCCCGCAGTGCCCCATGTCAAGTTCAAGATGGGCCCGTCTGGGGTCTCTCCCGGTCAGCGGAGCTACGGAGCCCGTGGTGCAGGTCCCTGTCTCCCCCGCCAGAGCTGGGGTTAGCCCGCCGTAACGTCCCTTCGCTCAAAAGATGCGACTGCACAGCCGCACGCCCAGGCTGGCCGTGCTGGAGGGGGGAGCGCCGGCCACGCTCCGCCGGGGCAGGAGGCCATCTGCATCCCTGCCGGAGCTCCGGCTGGCCCACCGGTCTCCGGGGGCACGGAGGTTTGCTGGTGGGGAGGGGGCAGAGAGGGGGGGGTGTTTGTGCTGTTTCCACCATCGGGGCTCCTGGGCAGTGCCGGAGGTGAAGTTTCTCGGGCGAGACGTCTCTGCTCGACCCCTTTTCTCTCCTGAGGACGGGGAGGCTTTTCCGCAGCCTAGTTAGAAATAAAGAAAAAAAAACAAAAAAAACCCCCACCAAACCAAAAAAAAACCCCAAAGAGACGATAACGGAGAAAGTCCGGCGTGCCGCAAAGTCACCCCGGGGTTCCCCCAGCAAGCAGCCCGGTGCTGCACGGCTTGTCCGGACCCCGCGATGCATGCAAGGGGCACCGGGCGCTGCGCAGCCCCGGCCCGGTACTCACCGTCGGGGCCTCCCCGTCGAGGCGGTTCCCGCCGCCCCTCTCCCTCGGCGGCGCCGCCGCGCCCCGGGCTCCGTCCGTCCGTCCGTCTGTCCGCTCGGGAGGGAGCGAAGCCGTTGGGCGGGGACAAAGGGACCGGAGGAAAAGGCAGCGGCGAGGAGGAAGGCTTCACCCGGCATCGCCAGCCCGAAAACAACGGCCCCGGCGGCAGCGCCGAACCGGGTCCGCCACGGCACCCGCCGCTGCCCCATCCCCCCGGCGGAGGTCAAAAACGGCTCTTTCCAAAACAATAAACTTTTAATGCTAAAGCAGTTATAACCAAAAGCTGTACAGAGTTGGATTTTTTTTGTTGTTGTTTGTATTTTTTTTTTTTGTTAGAAAACAATTTTTTCTCCCCCATAAATATTGTTCAGTTCCCGGCACTTTGTATCAATAATTAAATTACGAACGATAAATATGGCATCATGGATATGTATTTACAAAAAAAGTTATTACAAAAAGGCAACTGTTATACTAAACGTCACAATCTGGGTAGAATAAACACCACATCCTCATCCTGAAAAATACTGACCGACCCCATCAGACGAGAATACATTCACAAGTGTAATGCTTGGAGAAAGAGAAGGAGAAAGAGGAGGAGAGCAGAGAAAGAAGCAGCAGGAGAGCTAGAGAGGAAAGTTCAAGACATAACAGGACTTTGGCACGGTTTAAGACTGTAAGTTTAAACAATCACCACTAAGGCGAAGGAGAATTTTCATCCTCATGTCAACATCCCACCGAAAGAAGGAAAAACAAAACAAATTAAAAATAAAAAAAAAAGTGGGGAATCGGAGGAAGAGGGACTGGGGCAGGGAGGAAAAAAAAAAAACATCAAAGAAACGACTGCAACTGCAAAAAATGACAAAAAAAAAAAAAAAAAGAAATCCAATCCTGAGAAAAGGACATGGCTAGTCCAGCATCTGGGCTTGCAAAAAATAGTAATAATTATAATATAATAATAAAAGACCCCCCCCTCCGGATCCTGGCAATTAACTAGGTGTAGCCCTATGCGGTCGTCGGTGTGGAAACTCCCTTTCCATGGGAGCGAGCTGCAGTTGGTTTGGTTTTTTCTTTTTTTTTTTTTTTTTTTTTTTTTTTTTTTTTTCTCCTTGTTCCCAACACATTTGGTCCAGTCTCTGGCCGGGCAGCAGCTGCCTTCACACATACCACTCATTAAAATTGGGGGGCAGTCCAGGGTTGTGGCCGGGGTTACTCTGAAGGGCGGCCGGCGGCGTTTTAGTGGAGTCCTTACTGCCGGCGGAGCCCACCGCAGGGGGGGTGGAGGACTCGTACCCCGAACTGGCTGCAGGGGAAGAGTCCGACCCCTGGGATTCGTGCACCTAAAACCAAGAGGCAGAGATGGGAACGAGCTCGGGGTCCCCGCCACCCCGCTGAGCCGGGTCGGGATGCTCCCCCAGGCAGGAGGGACACCGGGGTCCAAGCAGGCGGTTCGTGCCTTGCCCGGCCACCCCGAGCACCGGCGGCAAATGCCTGCCTCGGCTCCCGGCCACTTCACTTGCAGCATCCCGGTGTGGGTTGTGGGGGACTGCAGCCACAAGCCAGGTTGCATTTACGCAGCCCCCCCGCCCCAGCACCGAGCCACGCTCTGGAAACCGGGCAGCGCTCGCACCGGTGGGAGCACAAAAAGAAACTACGCCATTTCCCCGGGCTGTGCTCCAGCCACGGCCTAGACACCGGGGAACCGCTCGGGCCGTGCCGGGAGCGTGGAGCGCTGCGGCAGGCACCGCTCAGCTCTGCCCTGCCCCGGGGAAGACGAGCCCTGAGCACGCCAGCGACCGAGCATCCCTGCTCAGGGAGGAAAAGGGCTGGAGCGCAGGGGTGATTACCTTCATGTGTTTCCTAAGTGAGCTGGGGTGGGTGTAGGATTTGTCGCACACCTTGCAGATGTAGGGCTTGTCCGAGGTGTGGACGTGCATGTGTTTCTTCCTGTCGCTGCTGTTGGCGAAGCGCCTGTCGCAGCCCTCAAACTCGCACTTGAAGGGCTTCTCACCTGCGAAATTCAGAGAGGGTGAAGGAGGGCCGGTCCCCTCTCCATCCCCTGCCTCCTCCCAGGACAACCTCTGCCCCGCTCGCCCCACCTTGGGGATGGGATGCACGAGCACCACAGAAAACGAAGAAGGGGAAGGCGGGCAGCGGGGTTTGTTACGTGTCGCGTAAATTCGGGTCAGCCTTTATTACTTTTAATTCACCTCCTGCCAGGCCCGCGCTGGGCTCCGGCGGGGACGGCGGCCGGGCGAGCCCAGGGAGGGAGAAGACCCGAGATAAATTCAGCGGCTCGGACAGTTTTACAAGACGCACTCGAGGATACAAGCCAAAATAACGTTTGCTTCCTGCCTTCCCCCCCCTTCCCTCCACCCGCGCGGAGGGCTGAAGGGAAGCCGGGGCTGCAAATAAAAAACACTTCGACAAATACATCGCTGATTTAATTAGGAGAGACGCCAATCAGGCCTAAAAATAAAATCAAAAGGAGCGGAAGTCACCGAAAACGAGATTTCAGCAGCATTGCCGTGGTTCCCCCCGCGGACGCGCGGGGGGCCGAGAGCGGCGGCACCGGGGGTGGCGGTGCGTGGGGGTGTCTGCGGGGTGCGTGTCACGGGCCTTACCTGTGTGCGTCCGCTTGTGAATCTTGAGGTTTTCGGAGCGGGCAAAGATCTTGCCGCAGCCCGGGAAGGGGCAGGGGAAGGGCTTCTCCCCCGTGTGCACCCGAATGTGGTTGACCAGTTTGTATTTCGCCTTGAAGGACTTGCCTTCCCGCGGACACTCGTCCCAGTAGCAGATGTGGTTGTTCTGCTCGGGCCCCCCGACGTGCTCCATGGTGACGTGGGTCACCAGTTCGTGCATGGTGCTGAAAGTCCTGTCGCAGCTCTTCTTGGGCCGGCTGAGCTGGCTCTCGTCGAGCCACTTGCAGGACAATTCTTGCTTGATGGGCTGCCGCATGTACCGAAAGAAAGCCCCGGGGCCGTGGTGGTGATGGTGGTGGTGGTGGGCCGCCACGTTCATGCCCATATTCACGTTCATGTGGTTGTAGTTGTGGAACTGGGCACCGGCGTAAGGGTCCGTGCGGGGGCTGGAGACGGCCCGGTACGGGTCCGGTCGCCCGAAAAGGTCCCCGCGTAGCCCCAGGTGCATCTGCCCGTTGTCCACATGCCCGTTGGGGGACGTGTGGCTCGGGCTCTGCTCGTGGAGCCCCGGGAAAAGCAGGTAGCCCGGGGTGTCCGGGATGCCACCGGGGCCGTGCAAACCACCGGGAGAGCCGCCGAAAAGCCCGTGCTGCGCCGTACCGGAGGCGGCGTCCGCGATGCCGGAGCCGCGGTTGCGGAACAGAAAGTCGCGGGTGGAGTTGAAAGCGGCGGCCCCGCCGTAGGAGGGCACCTGGCCGGCGTGGTGGTGGTGATGGTGGTGGTGGCCCAAGGCGCTGGCGTAGCCCGGCGCCTGCGGCGTGAACGCCGAGCTCTGCCCGGCGGCGAGGTCGTGCGGGGCCGCGTTCAGCTTGAAAGCGGCGGCGGCG